TCATCATGTATTTTACTATTATTACTGCAATATTATCATTATATTTTAAAAAGCCATAGGTACATTTAAATGCTTTATTTATTAAAAGGTATATAGTTTTTAACAGTTTTTGTAAATTATAAATACCTCTCGGCTTGTATCAGCCCCAGAACGATGGAGACATTTTACAAAAATGTCAATTATTAACTAATGTACATTGTACAATACATTATATTTATATATTATATTATTTATATATGTTATATATGTGTATAATAATATGATAAAATAATTATGTCATGTGTGTTATTGTGACTACTCCGAAAAATCAATAAGATACTACCGAGTACTGTAGTTGGATACACATGAAAAAGGCACTTATAAGTAGGTATATTATTATTTTGATTGTGTGAGACTACAGTAGAATGCAATAAGTATACAGGTTTTTACCAGATGAAACATTTTTTTTAAATATTTTTTTACATAATTTAAAACCATTACAAAACATAATTTTAAAAAAAAATATTATATTTTATATTTTATCATTATAATTTTTCATTATTTATGGTTTTGACTTTTGAGTGACCAGTTACAACATGATTTGTAAGTTTCATATTTTGGAACTTAATATTTATTTTCATTTGAATTTCGATGTATATAAATGTAGTATACTATAATATTATGCTAATTCGTTCAAAATTAGATTTATATGTACCTGTTATTAAATTATAATCGTTTAAGTTGTAGGAGGTTTAAATTCTTGTAACACGGCGTTATGAATAGGCAATTTAGGTACACAGGTGTTGTGTGTCAATTTCCTGGTTATAATTATAAATATTTATTGTTAAAAATATGGTTTCATTTAAACTAACCTAACCAGATGCTAAAATCATAGGATTTAATAAAATTTTTCTGAATTCTTATTTTCAACTGTCACAGGTGAGAGTGATAAATCAAGTTTCTATTGTTATTTTATGCGAGCTAATATTTAATTCAAAATAGAAACAATATTATTGGATAATAGTTAGTCTGTCTTATTTGTGCTTTGGATATACCTATAATATACTATATGTTTACATTATGGCTTATGATTATCTGATGAACAATATAATTACCTGTTTAATTAATTGTACAAATATATTTTCAACAAGAAGACCAAAAAGATAATATTGCTTTATTTTATATCAGATTGTAATATGAGAAACATGAAAATAGTTTTGGAGTTTTGATATAATATGACAGTACCTTGCATAAAACCTTTGGACCTAATAATTAAATATTACATAATTCTAAAAAGATGTATTTTTGATATAGAAATTATCAATGCAATTATATAATGCTATGGATCTAGTTAGGTTACCTTATGGTTCTATGAACCTAACCTATAAAACTCGATGATGTTTATTATGACAGTATCCCACAATACTACATCAATAGGTAGAGTTGAGGGACTTCAATGTCAAAATTAGAAGGTAATATAATATATTATATATTATAAACTTACTGCGATTGGATTTGAAAGTGTTCACCGTATCACTGCAATATCAGTAATGATACCGAAACTCTATTGACGAAAACTGAAAAAATCCAAAGTAATTTTTGGAATGAGTGGAAGTATATGACAAGGATTTGTCAACTACAGGTAAAAATGGTCAAAAACAGAAATAAAAAATTAGTACAGATATTTTCAAAATTAGATTACGTCTAGAAAATGATTAGGTATATAAAATATATTTTGTGAACATTTCAAGTCTCTAAAGAAGTCTTCTCAAGAAATAAAGTTTAATTTTTAAAGATTTATTAATATTTTAGGAAACAATAAATGAACAATTTTTTTTTGGGGGGGGGGGGGCTAATCCCCCACCTAGTTTCGCTCATGATACCCATTACCCATATGGTATTGATGAACACATAGCAAGTTTGAAATGTATTGGATTAATTCGTTATGTTATTAATAGGTACCATAGTACCAATTTTTTTTTATTGAAATGCACTTAAATAAACGGAAATTCATCGACGTATTTTAAAATTGTATCTTCAAATAGACATTGAATACAATAATTTATTGTCGAAACAATGTCTAAAGCCTACATAATATAATATATTCATGAGCCACGTAAGCAAAAAATATTTATATAATAGGTACCATAGAATGTATTTATGTAGGTACCTTTAATATTATAATCGCATAACCTAGTTGTGGGTTTAAAAACCGAGTAAACCGACCACTATAAATTTATGTCCTATATATACCTAGTTAAAGTTCGGTCACTCTTGATCAAACGTCGTTTACGACATTGTAAAGTGTATATAGTATACTTAGGTAAGTGAGTTGTACGAAGTATCATTATTCAGTATTCTAGTTAGATTTATAGGTGGAAATCGGGTACTATAAATATACATTATTAGTTGTGGGAGGAGAGGGGGATAACACATAGGTAACTTCTTGTATGCAGAGTATATTTTGCACCTGCTGATTTTCATAGGGTTTTCATTAATTTTAATCCTTATAGCTATCAAAATTGGAAGTTTTATACATTTTTAACTGCAAAATAATTTGTAAATATTCAATTTCATAAATAATGTTGAAAAAAAAATCTTGCTTTTGTATTTTTAATATTTTTAAACTGATATTGTAACAAAGTGTGAGGAGTCTTGTATTAAATTGTCAGGCCTTTTGAACAAACGAATACAATTTTATTGACGTTTATATAAAAAAAACTAAAAAAAATTTAAAATATCTGTAAACAGATCAAACGATTCAAAATATTTTAAACAATTTATCAAATATATAAAATGCTAATATAAACATTTAGTGAAAATTGCATGTATCTGAGGTAATTTTTTTTAGTTACATCAAAAACCAAAATCAATAGGTATTGTCTAAAACCTTTTTTTTTTCCCCAAGCTTTTGGAAACTACTTGAAATTTAAAATTTTTACCTATTGGATACACCAGCTTCATCGTAGTTGAAAATCGAAGGAATATGTCGACTACTTATCGTGTATACACACACAAAAAAAATCAAACATCATTGTAAAATAAATAAGTATAGAATCTAATTATCGTTATTCCTCGTTTAAATATATAATTTAATCCAAATTTGAACTTTCTGGTTGTAATAATAATTAATATTATAATATATCACATTATGAACTACTTACGAGTAACCTTGTATTAAATTTTAAAGCATTAGCAAAACAAATTAACAATAAAATTAAACATTATAATAAATTTGAACTTTAAATTATTTTCCTTATTTTAATACGTCACACAGCATAATATATTTCCATTGTATATTTTATCTCAATACCGTGTATGCTGTATATTAGGTTTAAGGTTTTTAAAAATCAATAGAGGATATGCATTTTTTTTTTATAAATTCCAATGATTTTTGAAAAAACCTGTTTTAAGATAAATACCGTCGGTCGTTGATCCACCTGCTCTAAAACCACTTATACCTTATAAATTATAATCGCTACCTAATTAACTTTTCAGCTGTTTCACTATTATTAATTATATGTTGTTTGAAGGTAAGTACCTATTTTATAATTTGAATCCTACACTTTGTTCTCGGAACTTAGCATAGATATTAGACTTATTACAGCTGTTTACTAGTCTTCATGTATTTTTAAGATTTCCCACACGGTCATACCTAACCAAATACGTTCAATATTTATTGCGTTATTTCTTCTCATATTTTCTTTAATAGTTTTGATTAAACCTCTCCCCCTCCAAATGCTTTGTGATCCATTAACTTTAATTCAGTATGTAGTAGTTCGAAGTAATCTCCCCATTCTTTTTCGTTTATCCTTCACCTATGATCTATAGTACTCAACATAGACATTTTTTAATAACTTTTCTTCAGTTCTCCTTCTATTAATCTCTTATCAAACTGTTCTCCCGTTCATACATATATCTTGTTCAGTGACTTCTGAAGGTACATCATATCTACACTAGGTATAAATCGTACGCCAATGTACAGATTTTCTTTTTAAATTTCATAGGATGTTACTAGCTTTTCTTTGACTGTACTTGTTTCTTTACAAAATTACTTCTTTATTTATGTCTGCCAGCCATCTATTTCTACCTTGCTAGTTTTTTCTCTGAATCTCTTCTATTGCTTCTTCACATAGTTTATTGAACTAGGTCTTTGATTCCGATATCTTTAAACCCAGCACCTCTAAAAACAAATTATTTATAGTTCCCAAGCTTCATCTGTTTTTGTGGGCCATCTGCTTCTTTTTAAGATTATCCATTTCGCAATCTATAATTTCACAGGCCCTTTGGTTAAAAAAATGTATCAATATCATATCTCATCACCATCATGCAAAGCGTCCAAGTGAACTATTGTGATTTTATATAAAATTTAAAATTGTATTACTTCAAAATCATTCTATTATTTTACTAAGTCAATGTTTGCGTGTTTAAATCACAACATAGTTGCAAACATGTAAAAAGTGATAGAGTAAAAAGAATGATGATGTTATATCAAATTTAAATTTAAAAAACTATATTTAAATAAATAAAACTACTACAACACATTTTTTTTAAATGAAAATGTATTTATTCAAGAAATTATTTGTTCAAGAAAAATATTGTTATATGCAGTAAGTATTATAATATGTCTTTGTCTGAAACTCGAATCGTCCAACTGATTATATCGTTTAACAATTTACCAATAAAATAAATTAGTGTCTCATATTAAATGAAATGTATACATGTTTTATTATATTATATAGATTATAGGTAATGAATAAATAATAATAGTATAATCGAAGTAGAAAAAAACATTATCTATTACTTTGGAATAAAAAATTGCACATTCCAATAAATATTTTGATGTATTTTGTAAATTCAAAGCACAAAAGTTGAGCAATTGAAATACACATTTAAAAAAATTAATAAACAAAAGATTGTGTAACCAACATAATATTGAAAAATCGTAAAAAGAACACAAGGTTTTCAAATTAAAATTAAAATGTTTTGTTCGTATAATTTATTGTTTCATATAAATTTAATCATTGTTCATAGTAAGTTGATACTTTGTTTGGCTTCATTTTACCTCCCCGATTATCGTAGTCCTTTACCCTGTATATACGAACAAGCCAATGTTCAGTTGTATATGCTTCGTCAACTACGTGTAATGTTACATTTTTTACCCCAATCTCTGCATTACGAACACGATCATAACCAGCTGGCTTACCTAAAATAATAAAAATAAATATTGTAAATTATAATGAATGTATCATTCAGAGAAGAAATAATATAATATGTATAATGTTTTGTTTTATAAAGGATTGTGTACAGACAAAAAAAATAATCAGTAATAAAAGATAAATTTACTTAGATTCAAATATCCAAATTTGAATTTGTACTTTGTAGTATCCTTCTTATAATAAGTAGAAACTCAATATTATTTTTAAACTTTTGCATAATTTTTTTTCTGATTAGTGAATTTAGTACAGTATTATATTCTCAGAAAGACACTAATAATTATCATAATTTAAAATTTAACTTAATCAAAAGTTTGTTTTCTTTACTTATTAGTGGATATACAAAAAACGGTGTACAATTTTAACTCATATAATAATTGTTAAAAACATTTAATTACCTCCTTCTGAAAAAACTTGACCAAATCTATAGTAACACATTTTATACATCAATGAATTTTTCAATTTCTTTGAACCTTCTTTATCCACACGAAACTCTCCACTTGGTGAGTAATAATCAGACTCTTTAATATGTCTACCTTTTTCAGTCGATCCTCCAATGCGTACCATCCATAAAAATTTGTTTATATCTATGAAAAAAAAAATATAAATTAAATTTCAGAAATAAAATATTAAGTGGAATATTTTAATTACCATCTGATGAATAACCAACGACACCACCAAAAATTACTAGCACATAGTCAACATCTAGTTCTCTCATTATCTCATAAGCTTCGTCTTCGCCAGATGACATAGCTTGACCAACTCTAGAAATATGAGTGTTATTCCAAGTGTTATTATCCACTAAAATTGTTCTATTGGCCATAGCTGTAATTTGATAACCATAATCCCACCATGACATTACTCGAGCATCCTAAAAATAAAAAATAAATAATTTATAAAAAAGGCAAACAAATAAATATTATTTTAAATTACTTCGGCTGTATTCATACGTAGCCAGTAATATGCTTCTCTGAAATCATCAAAAATAACTTGAGAACCATCATGTGAGCGAGCTGACAACACAATACTTGGCGAACTATATGCTTCCGAAGTAACCCATGTACAATGAAACACATAAGAAATCAGCATAAACGTCAACATTGTTACAAATGCAGTAGCAATCTAAATGTTAAAAATAAAAATAAATTATTTAATATTTAGTTTAATTTAGTATTTTGACAATCAACTTACTTCGCTTTTCATCGATTTACTACTTTCATTTTTCTTCAATTTTTTTTCAGGTACTTTTGATGAACCCTCGAGGTATTGTGTCATGTAAGTTGATAACATAGAAGAAGCACCAATACCAGATAAGATACACATTACCGGAGCAAGAACTAACATTAAACGTACCATTACACCCTAAAATGAGATCAAAATGTTTTAATATTATAATTAAAACAAAAATAAATTGAAATATACTAACAGCAAAATAAATGCTGGTAACTCCATAAAGTATCACAAAAATATTAGCATCTGTAAGTTTTGAGAAACAAAAATATAATCCAACAGGAAACAGGAACACCTGTATGTGCAAGTCAAAATAAAACGAAGACCAAGATGTAGGTTGATGTTCAGAAACAGATGCTATGATCGGTATGTGATTTTTAGCATAAGATGGATCCAATAATGTATAGAAACGGCCAGTCCATGGAGCAATTTTTCCTTTAAAATTTATAATATTATGAAATTGGACAAAAATGTTTTAAATTATATTTATTTATTTTTACCAGTTATTGTAAGTAAAGTACCAAAAGCAATTACAGTGCCTCCGATTAAATATATAATAAACTGGAACAATGTCTGAAAATCATCTCCAACAATCTTTGTTCGCATGTAATTTATCCCACCAAGTATTTGACACAAGCCAAATACACCTAAAGCCTATATAAATAAGAAGGAGCTGATTAAAAAATTCAAAAAGTTTTAGTAAATATTATTCATACCATCATATGTTCAGAAGTTTGAACTGGTTGGAACCCAACAAATGATATTTGCATTGACAATATAGTACCAATACAGTATACTGTACTATACGCTACATAAATTCTATGTGAAAAACGTCCAGTTACCATTAAAACAAACACATGCATTGGTATTAAATTGATTAAGAACACATATCCACCCCAAGATGATACCTAAAAAATAAAACACAATTTTATCAAAAGTAGCGATCAGATATATAATATATATATGAATATTATAAATAATAAAATTATTATTATTTATTACATATCGTTTATAATTTTGAACTAAAATTTAGAATTAAAATGTTTTTCTTACCATGTAAAAATATGCAAGTGCAGTAAATGCAGACCACAGAATACTACCCGTTTTCACCGATTTGATCCATGCGTAATAAGTCAAAAGCATACAAAAAATAGCAATAGCTGGAAACAAATACATTTATTATGTTTTTAATTTAGATTATTTTATCAAAACATTTTAACTATAATATTAAATGTACCTAAATAATTTACCTTCATTATCATAAGATCCAGCAACCGAACGAGATATATATCCTGGAACAATTGCTATCATAGCAGCTGCAATAAGTCCGGCACGAGTGTCTTTTAACTCTTTAGTCAGAAGGAATGTAATTATAGTAGTAAAACTAGAAAACAAAGGTGCTAAAAATACACAAATGTTCCTAATTTCTAAAGTTAAATTGATAAAATGAAGAGAGTTGTATATGACAGTTGACGTTATCATTAAGCCTGGGTAAATTGTACCTAAAAATTGAGATGTATCATTACAATTTTTTTTTCATACATTTTTTAATTAAATTTTTTATATATATATTTATTCTTTAAAAATTACCTCCAATAATTCTGCCAAGTGGATACCATGCTCGATCATCGAACCAATTATGAAACTTATAAAATCCTTCTTCTGCAAGATATTGTGTTGTCCGATAATTGAAGTAAGGATCAAATTCATGAATTACACTTTCAAATCGAAGCACAGAAAAAAGTCTCGTTGCAAAAGCTGAAAATATTTTTATATCATTAAATTATTCAAATATTAAAAGTAAAACGAAACTATTTAATATTATACTTACATAGTACTGCTGCAGTTGTCAAGATTGTCATCTTTAAAAAAGATTCTTGTTTTTCGCTGGACATGCCAAACAGCAATGGCTTGTATAGCACGGTGGAACTCATTATTATTGGAATCTAAAAGAAAAATAAGGTTAATATCTACAATTAACTTAATTTAAGTTTTATATTCAAAACAGGGTATACTATCATTTTATTTAAAAGTACCGTAAATGGGGTGACTTCGGACATGTGGGGTGATTCTGGACAACACTGTTTTTTTAGTTATCTTATAATTTTAGAATACACGTTTAATAAAAGTTGAAAACTGATACTCCACGTTAATATCTATTACCTATAACCTCCATAGAAAATAATATTTGTTGATGACATAATGTTGTCACAGTACATATGTTATAGAGGTAAATACAAAATATTATATTTTAGGATTTTTAAATTATATAACTGATAACTACTGTAGCACAACTACAAATATATATTTGAATGCGGTTTTCGATAACCTACTCGTTATATTGTCTGTGTTAATTTGTATATGTGAAAATTGTTAAGTTATTTGATCTCACACTGTAGTGTTCAATCGTATTACAAAATGTGGGATGACTCCGGACAACACATAAACCATGCCCAGATAAAATGACAACAATGTAGGACGTAGGAGATAATTAGTAAAAAATGTATTATAATCTTAATAATATTAAAAATGTAGTTGATGCTGTTAGACATAAAAAAAATGACAGTAAAAGTACACTTTTTAAAAAAAATATCTATATCGTCTGAATTCAACCATTGTAGTTATAACATTGGTGTTTAATGAAATCTAATACGTGTCAGCAGTCGCCCCATTTTGCGGGTCTCTCCAGACAAAATTCAACTTTCAAACAAAAAAAGTGTGAACTTTAATGAACTTAATGATTATTCTTCTGCTCTATGATTTCAGCATACTTAAAGATCAAAGCATATTTTTTCATAATTTTAAAAACAATATTATATTGAGGTAAATTTTTTAAAAAACGTTTAGGTAAATCTGTCTGGAGTCACCCCATTTTACGGTACTGTAAGTGATTATTTTTTTTTTTTGAAACAAATTTGGAAACAGTTACCCACCTACTTTCTAAGTACCTATTCATATCATGATAAATCAATATTCTAGTCGATTGAAAATTGTCACAAGAATATGCAATTGCAACCCTTTTATTATTTGGAAATAACAATTTAATATTTTAATTGAAAAATACAAAAGAATTAGTTATAGTTATAAACTAATTAGGTATTAAAAAAACATACATAAAGATGTATTCATAAAATATTTTTATAACAGTTATGTTTGAAGAATTTTAGGTAAGCACAAACTTGAAAATCAAACTATGTAGGTAATCCAAAAAAATATAAGAATATCTACCTACTTGATAGTTTGAGATCCTATATCTTTGAATTGGCTTTAAGACCTAGGTAACTGAAACTAGAACAGTATCTAATCAGATCAAAACATTAAACTACCAAATGCCAATACTGTCCATTTATCTTAAAAATGTTAATTATGACATTAAAACACAAGAATGTAAACAACAAACGACATTACATTGTGCATTTGAAATAACTAACAAGCAAAAATGCATACACACAACAGATGTTGGCCGCCTCGGAGTTGGTAGAATATGACACTTCGTTCAAAACACCATTTATTTTACAGCACTTATCCCTAAACTTTAGTAAAAAAGTTACTTACGTTTAATATGGCTTGATTAAAATATATTCGGCCGGCGTTTTACCACCAGCAATCACGACTTAATAATAATAGTAATATTAATAATATTAGAACTTTATCGATAGGAATGTTAAGTACATCTTGACGTGGTACATAAATTGACTTATGGCATCGAATAATATTATAATTTATCGATATCCCAGCGCAAGACGGTAACGGACATTTCTTTAAAATTCGAAGTCGCGGGTCGACTAACTAATAATAATTTTACGCTACAATTTATTATTATTAGAGGAGTCACAGAACCGAATGTACCGCAAGCAATATTTGATAAGAAAATTCAGGGGTTCCAAAAATGTATTGTTATGCTCTAACCAGTAACCATGATAATAACGTTCTTTATAAACATTTTGGTAGCCGGGTTCAAAGATACGTCGCCTTTCATGTCGTGTTCCTTTTATTGGATTCTGATTGGCCGTCTTAAATTGTAATCGTGGTATTAATCACTAACCGTGAACGGCGTGAACTACCAGGAAAATTCCAGAGTACTGAGTAAGGGTCCAGTACAAATTTTGAGACACAACTACACGACGGACAGACTACAGAGACAGATATGGGACTATGATTCCGGCTTCACATAAAAACTATTGATTGATAGCTATATAACTTTCCTTATTTTTCAACATGTTTGAAAGGCATACCTACCTACGTCATAAACCTTCCTAATTAAAATACTAGCTGTAGGTACATGGTGCTCACTACTCTGGCGTCTGCATAATAAGCTAAAGTCTCAAATGTCCATAATATATCCATAATCCATTCGAAATATAACATAATATTCTGTCTGAGTATATTTATCATTGCCAAATATTATTTTATAAATTATTTAGTCATAATATTTACACTTACTACTGAATAGGTAATTAAGAAGTCGTGAAATCGCAAATTAAATGTAATTCATATCACATTATCACAGCTAGGTTGAATAGGACATTAGGACATCATAATAGTATATTATTATAAATGTTGTGATGCAATAAAATATAAAAAAAAACTGTAAAAATATTATTTTAACACCATAAGAAGAGAATAACTTATAAGTTATAACAGTAAATATACTTCCATAGTTGATGATATATTAAATTAAGTATTTTATGGGAAGTTGTGGAGCTACAATAATTATTTAGACATTGAGAATTTTAGATTCTAAGTGGTATAGTTAATGTATTGATTTTACAATGATGTGTGTGTTTTTTTTTTATTTTTTTATTTTTTTTTTTTTGTGTCTGTCATCACGGTTTGGGGCAGTAAAACTGCTTCGATTTTCTTCAAGGCTCCTAGTATATTGTTTCAAAGGCAGATGAAAAATATTAAAAATCCTTAGTCACAGTTTTTTTTTTGTAAGCATTTAAAGTCCAAAAATTGACAAAATATGTAAAAATCACGAAAATTAGCAAATTATTTTGAGTTAAGAATTCGTAAAAATTTTTCTTTTTAAATCTAAGGTTATAAAATGTAATACAAGATTCCTTATAAGATTATCTACCTTTATCAAAAAAAAAAAATGTTTATAAGAAAAACAAATTAAATTTTTATGAGCGTTTGAAATTCAAATTTTTACAACATTGGATATTTACTCGATTTCTCATGTAGCGATTTCCTTATTTTGTTGTAATTCAAAAACGAATAACTGTAGATACATGGAAATTTCACTGAATATTTTTGTTAACATTTCCTATACACCATACAATTTAGAAAATATTTTGACTCTTTTTGAGCTGTTTACGGACATTTACAGTTTTCAATTTTTTTAGTTTTTTTTTCTATAAATATCAATAAAGTTTTATTCGTTGGGCCAAAAAGTGTAAAAATGTAATACAAGGCTCCTGATATATTGTTACAATATCAGTGGAAAATATTTAAAAATTAAAATACATAGGCACAATTTTTTTTCATAAGCATTTAAAGATCGAATTTTGACAAAATTTATCAAATTCAAAATTAAATAATTATTTTGTAGTTAAAAATATATAAAATGTTCAACTTTTATATCTAAGGATTGAAAATGTATAAAAAGATTCCACGTAAGTAGTTAATTCTGTTACCAAAAAATCTAAAAAATAAATATGCACAGTTTATTTTTATAGTCATTTTAAGTTCAAATTTGGACAAGATTACATAGAAAAAACCTAGAATAACTATTTTAGTTATTTTGTTGTGATTGTATAATATTATTCGTGGGTACTTGAAACCAGTGGCGTCCGCAGGGGGGGGGGGGGGGCTAACGGGCTGAAGCCCCCCCCCCATTGCCCGTATTATTATTACTTTTTAAATAAAATATTAATCAAGTTTAAACTGTCAACTATAGTAAGTAAGAGGTAAATTTCATATATGTCTTATCAGAATCATGAATTCATTTTTGAAAAAACATTGTACCTATTTGCATACCAATTTTCATAAATTATCTGTAATTTTTCGGTAAAAGTATGAACTACTTGTATGAAAGACCTTGTATTAAATTGTCTAGCCTTAGCTTTACATATATTTTAATATTTTATAAGTTTTGAACTACAAATTAACTGTGGTTAAATTGTTTTGAACTTTAAATGCATATGTATCGTTAATATTTTAGCTATAATAAAAAAACTTACTTATTACATTTTTAAGCTTTTTGACCGGATAAATAATTTTTTATTGACATTTATAAAAAAAAATTTTAATTAATCAAATACAATCCAAGTGAGGATGGTATAACCATAAACCAAGCTATTGTTACCAAACAATTTAAATAAGTTTTCATTTTTTTTTCTCCGATTAGGTACTTTTAAAAGCACTGAGCAGATTCAATTTCGACCTCCTAAAAGTACCAACTAGATCCAATTTGCTTCCAAAAACATACACTGGGCATCGAAGCTTATGATAAGAGCATTTTTTCTACCAGAAAAGTTGAAAAGTTACAAACATTTTAAAATACCTCAAATAAACGTCTGAAATTATTAGACTGGACAAAATAAAAATAAATTTGTAGCTAATTTTCAAGCCCCCCTCATTGAAAAATCCTGCGGACGCCACTGCTTGAAACTTCTAAAGTACACTATTATATATTTATAATAGTATCACGGTTTGTTGTTGATGTACGCGCGTTATAAAGTACCTAATGGATATTGTGATATGATTAATTTGGAATTTATTATAAGTACCTATTATAGGTCAATTTTTTTTAATACCATAGATAAGTATATAATATGTCTTATACCTAGACTGACATACCGTCTCCGCTCAGAATCGGTTTTTCTTTTACAATAATATTATATCATTGATTATTGAATTCAAATTTAATACCATCCATTATACAGTGACCCACTTGTAACCTACTGTACAACAGTCAACAGAGCACCTTGTTTTTTCTTTTTTTCTTAGCTTCGAGCTACTACCGTCGTGCTGGATTATATTATAATTGTTACTATGCGACAATAATTGTGATTTATGACATAACAAAATGCGTCAGTATCTTCAACGACTAATGAAAAATTTAAAAATTATTGCAAAACTGATTAACAGAATAACATTTGATGGAAATTATAATTTTAAACTTAGATCATTTGGAATTGTTCAAATAATTAATAATGATGGAAGTAGTTTATACATTTTGTACTAGTATTTTAGACCACATATTTGGGTACTTAGAATATATTTTGCTTAATGGCAGCGGAAATAGTGTTCCACTGCAGAGCGCCACTACTACTACTACAGTTCTTTCAATGGCTGAAATTATAGAATCTCCAGAAATAATTCAAATTGACAAGAATGAAACATGCCGAAAAATGCAAAATAATGTTCGTGGTCCTGGAATCAATAACAGATTTAAAAACAAAGAAACTTTGCAGAAAAAAATCAATTTCGAATTTGGAAACACAGAACCTGAGTGTTATTATAATAATATCAAAACACTAAAAACAGCCATGAATAGTAGTGGTTTATACTACGGACTATTCTATGAAAATATGGTAGGGTATTGTAGCTCTAAAATTGTATAAATAATATTAATTTACCTACCTTTTTAGTATAATAATTTTTATTAGTACTTAGTAGGTTATTAATCTAATAATAATATGTCTTAAATATGTACTATTCAGAAATGCAACGAAACGAAAATCATAGAAGACGAAGTGAAGAAGTTTCTATTTTTTGAATCCATGCGCCGAGATATAATGGGTACTGGGAAGAACTCGTCGGTCTCTACCAAAACTCAAAAGAGCATTGATTAATAATTTTGAATGTATAAAATATATAATATTATAATGTTTAAAGTATTGACTATTGACTACCTAGACTACTAAGTATTGATTATTAATACAATAATACTATTGTTATTTGTTAAATACATTATAAATTATAATATAAACTACCATAACAATAATCAATATGACTAATTTTTATAATAATTAATATAAGCTGCGTAGCAGTGTAGGTACCTATGTAATATTGTAATATTTATAGGTACAGTTAATTCCTGCACAGTGATCATAGCCGTCCCAAGGGAGGGGGGGGCAAATGGGCAAGTGCCCTAGGGCGCCTAAAGTATTATGAATTACCTACTAAAAATGAATGATAAAAAGAATTTAATTTGCCTGGTAAAATATGGAGAAATGGCATCATGTTTTATACAGAGTGTTGCACAATAAAGGTGTCAAACTTCTAAAGGTGTTTCTACACCTCAAGTGGAACAAAAAAAGTTCTTATGACTCCTGCAACTAGGTCTAATCCAAGTACACAACCCACAATTGTTGTTAGATAAAACTGCATTTTTTTTTTTAAATTTTGACATTTTAAAGTTTTAAAACATTTGTTTCATTCTTTTTACCCAAAAAATCAGGTGGGAACCTTGTAAGATATGTTTTCCTAATACCAATTTTATGAGATTTTCATCAATGTATTCAAAGTAATTGTAGTACCTACGGATTAGCAGATATGAACATTATTATGAATCAAACTTGGGTTTGACCAAAAATACACAAACATAGAAGTTATCACCCTTATTATTGATAATTCGATTATGGTCATAAAGACTTTTTTTGTTCCATTTGAGGTGTAGAAACACCTCTAGAAGTTTGACACATTTATCGTGCAACACCCTGCATTTATCGAATAATATTTCAATAATACATCAAATATCTATACTGACAGTGAAATTTGATTCATACATTAAAATAATGTGAATTTGATATTTCTTATCAAATACGAAAATAGTAAATTATTAGTTGGGCTGGGGCCTGGGGCCCCTGCAGTCTATGGGCCTCAGTGATCAACAACCCCCACCCTCGGGTAGTTGAGCTACTGTAATTATTATACGCAAAGATATATGTATATTATATTATAAGTTATAACCAACTCATTATCAATTTTACCCACTTCTTAAAATAAATCTAGTTAGTGTATTTTGACTAAATTCTGTATACAGAGCGTAACAGAAAGATATGACATATACATATACTGGAAATGTTCCTAAACAGTTCAAAACAAATCAAAATGTTTTGAAAATTTATCGTGTATAGAAAATGCAAATATAAACTACCAGTGAAAATATCATGTATATACGTTCATTTGTTTTAGAGTTTAACCAAAAACAAAAATCGATTTTGTCATATATTTCTGTTACACTCTGTATTATATTAACTTGTACAATTTACAATGTTGACTGTTGTACACGCCACACGCAGAAAGTATGATTTATAATAAAATCTACTAATTTGTGAAATTAGTTATATATATTTTCTTTTTGTAATGTACGAATGTACCAAGAATAATGAAATCGGGGTCAACTTCGAAAAAATTATAGAAACAAAATAAATATGATTCCAATAATAATATTAAAAAAATAAGTAGGAACCTTTAATTAGTAAGTATTAAACATATTTAAGGTATGTGGTTAATTATAAACTAAAAAATGTGAAGTCAAGATTTTTTGCGGGAGAGAGGGACGTCATTGGTGGTTAGAGCGGCACTGACAGGGATAGATTTCCGCCTAGAAAAATATCCTCGGCGTCTTGGCTAGTAAAAACTAATTTATTTTCTAATAGACACTCGAAAAAAAAATTTACAAATCTATGCTGGCGTATGGAGCGATTATACCTACTATAGTCAAATCAGGTAAGGTCAGTCGTTGGGTTACTCGTTTTGTATTTCCATCGCCGTAGGGCTTAAGGACCAAGTCCCAATCTTGAGTTGTAAGACCACTGCCGGTACCAGTGCCGGCATGCGTAGGGTCTAGGGAGTGACTTCTTGTCATACTTTAACTAAATATGATTTATGACTTATGATTTTTTGGAAGACGAAGGCTTTAATACCGGTGCACATGATTGTATGTGGTATCGTGGTGGCATGCAACATTTCAAAGTGATATTTATAATTTACAAACCCTTTACCCGTGGTTACTCACTTACCATGTTTCTTCCCATTGAGCCAAGACTAAATTTTGGAAAAAATAACTAATAGGAAATTTCCATTTGCCATTTAAAAATGTTTAAACTAATTAGCATGAACATTGAACACTTATACCTCAGTGACTTCTATTTGACTTAGGTACCTACTTCCATAGTATAAGAAATAAGAAGTATTCTCAATGATGAGACTGTGCATATTTTTGTAAGGGGCAACGTATAATTTATATAGGAAACCAACAATAAATACAAGGCGACGTCACGACTCACGAGTATACATTTAATCTTGTGCAATGCAGTATGCACAAAAACACAAGGCGATGCACATGCGCGAACTAAGACGAAAACACGGTTATAGTTGATCATACTTCTTATTTCTTAAATCTTATACTATGGGTACTTCAAGTTGCAAATCATTTCCAAGAAAACAATACCTACCAATCGAATTTACCGTTTTTATTATTCCATAGGTACCTATTAATTTTTTTTTTTAGATAAATTTCAATGTTTGTTTTAATGCAGACATGCAGTGCATGGAGGAATCCGAGGAATCCTGGTTCACCATTGAAATTTGAAAGATAATATGTAATTTCAAATTGATTTTGGATGTGGGAGTGTTTGGACAGATCTGTAAACCATTATATTATCATATATCAATTATCAATATACCTATATATTATATTCAATTTTGCTTCACTTTATGACTATTAGGTAGTTATTACTTATTAGATTACGAACATTAGGTTGAAAAAATTATAATTTATTGTAATTTTAACGTCCAAATATGAAAAAAAAAATAAATACGAATAAGACAAAATATAATATTATAATATACACCCAATGGCCCATGTTGCCGCGGGTTATCCAATAAAAAAAAAAAAAAAAAATATTATAATATTAAATCTTACTATCTACTATCTAGTCAGCGAATAGTGATGTAAGCTGATGTTTCTCCATGTTATCAGCGGTAGTTATCGCTTATCACAATGTGTATATTATTATCTATATATATTTTGCAACAGCAGGCTATCAATGTCTGTCAATTTGACCAAAATCGAAATTCGAAATTCTCTCCGATAACAGCGACACAGTCGTGACTCTCGTCCAGCAGGCTGATGACGTCACCATAATTGAGATCCGTGATTCTGGGAAAGGTGTGGAGTTTCCCGATTGTTATTGTTTTCGTTATTTTTATTATTTTTTTTTCGTCAGTTCTCGGTCGTTTTATTATTATTATTTCGACCCCCCGGTGTAAAATCGACGGTAACCAGTAATACAATATTATTATAATAGTAAATAGTTTAGTAATAACAGGGAAATAATAATAACAATAATAACAGTCGTACACTACCCATTACGAGCTACGGCCTACGACGACGACGAGTGACGACGAACAACGCCAGCCAACCCGTCGGCATGTCGCGTGTACCGTTTTAGCACGTCGGCAACCACGACCGTCGACTACCCACATACGCATCGGCGGACGTCTGACTAACACCGCGTAATAGCCGCGCGCCGAGGCCTCACGGGCAGAAATCGTCGTTGACGGACCGCACAGCGCGACCACCGCAGTCGCCGCAGAGTCCGATATCTGCGATCCACTCGAAACGGCTGTCCGCACCCATGTTGAACATGGCTCACAACCTGGCACCAAGCGTCAACTGTTCGCTGGACGACATCGATCTCAACGCGTTAAAGGTGAGCACCCGTCCGTCACTCCCCGCGCCCCCCCCTCGTCCCACCGTGTGTCACCAATAATAGCGAGCTTTTAATCACCTTTATAAATAAAAAAAAATTCCATCTCTTTCCAGGATCCGGCTGGCATATTCGAACTCATCGAAGTCGTCGGCAATGGCACCTATGGACAAGTGTACAAGGTAAGCGATCCCTATCAATATATTAGGTATAAGTATCTCTGTGCGCGTTGGTCTATGGTTCGACAGTGTCCGCGAGACCTCTACTAATTTTTGATTAGCACAAACTCATCCAGTTTTTAATGCCGATCGATGTTTGATTCTCTCTCTCCACTTGATAGTTGTTGACAAACGTACCTGTAAAATAAGTTGTTGTTATTTTAATGCAATTGAGATCCCAGACGAGTACAGTGATTGCACTTTTGAGCAAAGACGAAAGACAAGTTTCTATAACCCACATGTAGTACATCATTTGTATTGTTTGGTTTCGTTCATAACAATATGTATCAATAGCCTTGAAGAAACTATGTCTCAGATATTTAGACGAAGGTGTGTCATTTTTGGTACAATTGATTGTTGACCCTTCAAAGTCCACCAACATTTATTAAATCTACCTACTGTTGTTACATGAAACTTTATTGTTCCATAGCGGGTAATGTTATAATTTACCCACTTCGTTAAGTTATAATTGGTTCATAGTTAGTAGTTATTATTGAACACTTTACATTATTTTTTCATTTACAATCTAAATGCAAGTTTATTGATACAACTAACAACTATTATGGACTTAACATTTCTTTGTTCAATGTGCTTATATATTCAAAATTATTCAATCAAGAAATATTGCATCTAATAATGTTATGATATTTAATTTTATTCATTTAAAAAATCAACATCAAAGTTTTATGAACCTTGTTTGAATAAAGGTCATCCTAATAGCTCTTTTATTATCACACCAATTATATGAACAGCCTATGTTATTTAATTAAGTGAATCATCACACTTGTTATGCATCAGTAATTTTAATTTTCATAGTGGTACTTGATGTAAAATATTTTCAACTCTCATGGAACAAATACTTAATATTATTAATCACTAAACATTTTATAAATTAACCAACATAGGTAGATTTGAGATCATAACAAATTTTTATAAATATTATTTAACATAATATTGATAGAATAAATTAAAACTGTCAAGTTTTGGTTTTAATTCATATACCTAATACATTTTTAGATAGATAGGTAGGTAGGATAGATATCCTTAAGATATTATTAAAATTAATGTTATGTGTAATTTCATAGTATGCAATACTGGTATTACTAAATATGTAATTTTATAATATTATAAATAATTGATACCTATATAGGTATATCTTAGTTAATACTTTAATTATTTATTTGTTACCAAAAAAAAAAATATATATATTATAATTATTAGGTAATTTAAGATATATTTGAAACGTATTAATTTATTATCTAGTTAATTTGATGGGCCATTAAAATGTATTAACTTTGAAGCTATGTTAAGGAAACAATTAGGAAAATAAATAATTAGGTACCTAATTTCACATTTTAAATTATTTTTTAGGGAAGACATACCAAAACTGGACAATTGGCAGCAATCAAAGTTATGGATGTTACTGAAGTATGTATATTGTATGCTATGAGTAAAATCATTCGTTTTATTTTTTTTAAATTCATTACAGTATTTGTACAGTTATTACTTATTATATTTAAAGATGTATGTAATTATAAATTTGTTATTTTGTTTTTCTTTTCAAAAGGAAGAAGAGGAAGAAATTAAATTGGAAATCAATGTTTTGAAAAAAGTAATTTCTCATTTAAAATAAACTTCGTAAGTACTTAACTGATAATGGTTCATATTTTATAGTATTCCAATCATCGTAATATTGCTACATATTATGGTGCATTTATTAAAAAAAGTCCACCGGGCAAAGATGATCAACTATGGCTTGTGATGGAATACTGTGGGGCTGGATCCGTAACCGATTTGGTTAAATCCACCAAAGGTCAGTCACTTAAAGAAGAATGGATTGCCTATATATGCAGGGAAATATTACGTGGTCTTAGCTATTTGCACTCAAACAAGGTCATACATCGTGACATCAAGGGTCAAAATGTTTTGTTGACCGATAATGCCGAAGTGAAACTTGTTGATTTTGGAGTCAGTGCTCAGTTAGATCGGACCATTGGGCGACGTAACACTTTTATTGGTACTCCATACTGGATGGCCCCAGAAGTTATTGCTTGTGAAGAAAATCCAGATGCTACATATGATAATAGAAGTGATCTGTGGAGTTTAGGTAAGGAAATTAAAATTTAATGTTTCAATAAATTATATATTACTAGTAATTGTTTTTTTTAGGTATTACTGCATTAGAAATGGCTGAATCCCAACCACCTTTGTGTGATCTTCATCCCATGAGGGCTCTATTCTTAATTCCAAGAAACTCTCCACCTAGATTGAAGTCAAAAAAATGGGCTAAAAAGTTTCATGGTATGTTGAATTTTTTTGAAAATGATGTTATTTTAGCTGAATTAAAATAATAATTCTATGGTATTTATTGTATTTAGGTTTCATAGAAACAGTGCTTGTTAAAGACTATCATCAGAGGCCATATACAGACCAGCTTTTGAAACACCCATATATTAGGGACCAACCAACAGAGAGGCAAGTTCGTATTCAACTTAAAGATCATATTGATAGGTGTAAAAAACGAAAGCAAGAAAAATGTAAGTATTTTAAGTTATATTTTGAAATATTATATAAATTCTAATAATATTGGTTTTTAGCTGAAAGAGAAGATTATCGGTATAGTGGATCAGAAAATGAAGAAGATGAGGACCATAATATTGCAGGTGAACAACATTCATCTATAATTCAAGCTCCTGGTGATAATACATTGAGGAGAAACTTCCAACAAATCCAGGAGGGGCGAACTTTAACCCCTCATGGTAAAGAAAAACATGGTAAAGAAAGAGAAGAAATACCAGAACCAGGTCCTCCGGCTCGACCACCTATAATACCTCACAGATTAATCGGTATAATAATAATAACAGATTTTGATTGTTCTCTTATTTCATGTTGCAATTATTGATTAGTTGTTCCAGATCCCCACCCACCGTCTAGACCTCTTCCGCCACCACCACGCGATGATAGACACTTCCATCCACAACAGCAACAACCACAGCGAAATTCAAACGTATTCCAACCAATGGTAAGATTATATGATAAATATTTAAATTTTAACTAGAGGGCAAACAATATAGGTCTTTGATGTTTTGGCTGCTCAGTTAAATGAAATAGGTGGTTCATCAGCCAGACAGACAGATGTTTCTGTGTCACAGGTACACCAAAATGGAGGTGCCAAAGTGATACCACAAGGAATAATAATTGAGTCTGATTCTTCTGATGAAGATGAAGATGACGATGATGATGAAGAAGATGACACAGCTCATAGACACGATGCTCGCCGTGCACCACCCAGAAGAAAACCAAATGATGGAACATTACTTGCTAGTGATCCACCTAAACCACTGTAAGTTACTTATAATATAATTGAAATAAATATAGCGTTAATTATTTCATTTTACTGTTTAGACCCGCTGATATAAATCCTAATGGACTAAATTTAGAAGGTATTGTACTATTTAATATGTAATTTATCATTTAAAATAATAAATCATCATTTGGTTAATTTCTTAAATTATCATAGAGATTATAACTGAATGTTATCATGTTTATAATGTTATTATTCAATTTTGATTACTATGCAATAATATGATAAAATAATGATTTAGATTTTTAAATAGAATTCAGTCACTGAATTGTTTTGAACATGATGAATATTAAAATATTATTAAGTGATTTTGTTCTGATATTTAGGATCATCATCAAGCTCTAGTACTGTTATGGGACCTGGTGGCGCGCCTAATCGTCCTCTACCTCCCACTCCAGATGAAGAAGAAAGTGGAGACAGAACATTGGTATTAAGAAGGGTAAGTGTTTTAATTTGCTTTATAGGCTAATGCACACCACATTACACTTTTCACAAATTGGTAAACATCAAACAGTGTGCAGTATCAAAAACCTTTTTTTTTAGAAATAAAAAGCTTAGAATGGGACATTCTGACATTTTTTTTTAGCATGAAAAAGAAAAATATGTTATTTAAGTGGTTTTGTCTTTAAGGTTTTTTGGACAGTTGTTTGTTATATTATATATTGAGATTTTATATTATTCATTATCTGTTTATTGCATTTAATTTATAATTTACATTCTTGACATTTATTGAATTTAAATGCATTGACTGCAAATATTAATATTAATAGTTTTTATTTTATAAAATGTCCCATTAAAGTGCATTATTTTGTATAAGTTTTATTATAAAAATATATTAATAGGATCATTTTTAAATTTGAAGTTAGCTCAGTTGCTTAATTAATTACTAATAGTAATTTGGCTTAAAAAAAGTATCTTTGTATACTTAGTGTGTATTTTTTAAAGTAGTGAAACAACTAGTTTTTTTTTTTTTTGGTGGTAGAATTTGGTCCATGTAAATGTCCATTTCCCAATTGTAAAGTATTACTATTCTATTTACTTCAAAGTTTTTCCAAAGGTATATAAAGGTATACAACTATCAAAAAACTTATAGTAACTGATATAATGCTTATCTAAATTGTCTTATCTAATCTTAATAAATTTATAATAATACATTCTAAAGCTGGGTCCACATTAATTAACACTGTCTAGTCATTCTCATTTTTAGTTATTTATCTATTGTACGGTAGACTAACAAACTAAGAGCGAAAATGTATTAATTGTTACAATATTTTATGCATTCAAGTATATAAAATGTATGATCCATTGTTCAACTGTAATGTTTTCTGATAAAATAATAGAAAATAATAAATATTCAGTTTATATGAAGATGTTTTAAAAGTTTTAAGTGTGTGGATTCAGCTTAATGGTGTAGGGTTTTCGTTATCAACATTTCATTGCATTCTAGATTATTTTACTTTCTAGACAATATATTTACAGTATAAATTCATTCTTTGTTATGATATTGTTCTTTATCATGAAAATATGATTGTTTAATAGTTTTCAAAAAGGTTTAAAATTCAAAATTAATAACAATACATTTTATTTTAATTGAAAATAATTTTTTTTTTATTAAACAAACTGAAAATCTACAGTTTTTATTTGTTATTATTTTTAATATTTTATTTCATTGTAAATCTATATAAATGGCCAAAGTATTACATTCAACTAATCACTAATGAATTATTTATTTTGGGAGTTATTTACTATATGGAAAACTCATAAATTTAAATGTAGTGTATACTAAATTTTAGATAATACTTCAATATAATATAATTCAGGATTAGTATTTAAAATATAACATAAACATAAAATTGTATTTTGTTGTTAAAGTAAATTAAAAATCTGTTATTGAGGTATTCTTGCGTTTCATGACTTCTAGTTGTATTTTTGTTTGGAATTTTTTTTGAATTTTTGCTTAGTTATATTTGCATGGTATTTTTTATTTATGATTTATGATTTATAGGTAGCTCCATATTAAATAATAATTATTTACATGAGGCGTTTAATACTCTGTATTTATTAAAATATCATCTAAGTTAATTCAAAAGAAGTTCCAAAATAATATTTTTCATACATCATTTTAAGATTAAGGTTTAAATGTTATTTCATCAAATTGTTTGTTTCTATGAGAAGACAAATAAATTATTATTTGTATTACCAATTATTCAAATGAATTGAATAGATTTTAATAGAAGTTCTATTATCAAGACTAACCCTGTGGACGATTAGGTTTCTATTATATTATTTTGTTTTAATATTTTAAAAAATTCCTACACCAGTTGCCGCAACAAAAACCAAGTTCAAGTGATGGGAAAGTAGATATTGATGAACAAAAATTGCTGAAGGATTGGGATTTTGCCCGCTTTTTTCATAAATCAAATAATATAGCAGAAAAAAATTCTCAACAAAAAGCCAAAGAACAGGTATCGTCGGTACCTAGACGAATGCCACAACATAATCGTAATGGTTCAGAATCATCCGGCCCTTCCAAATTTATACCCAATGTGTTCAGACGAGAGAATACAGATTTTTTCGTACCATCAGCTCGTCATTCTGCCATGTTTTTTGATGGAAGACGTTCTGATATTCAGCAGAGAAGAAGTTCAGATGTTAGTAAAAAGTCTTTGGAACGAACTGATTCCTTAAAAAAACCGTGGAAACCAACTAGGCCAAGGCGAGAAAGAACTGATGGTGATATAGTATTGCAAACCAACCGACAAAGATTTGTCAGACCATTGTTAGAAAACAGACGTTTAGAGAATGATCCCAGGTTTTCACGAGGAAGTGCTAATAGTAGCAAGAAGAGTAATGGTCAAGATAATGGATTTACCAATGAAACTAATCAGGTTAGAGATAGAAAAGTAAAGGTTTATATTTCATGCCATGTGTTTTACTTTAATACTCGTTGTCGCTAATAATACACATATCAGGTGTCTCAATCACTACTAAGAATAATAGGTACTTAGTGTATAGACACCTCATATATATAGAGAGGATGATTAGGTTTATGTCATTTATTAATTTCATTTATATCACTGTTGATCATCATGTCCAAAGAGTCTAATAACGTGTTAGATGATTTTAATCTTGTACATTATGGTGATATGACTGGTGAGTGGTCAGTGGTATTTGTGAAAATTGCATGACTTTAAACCAATTTATCCTGGTTTATATTTTCGGTACAAACAAATACTAACTGACTGTAAGTGATGTGCTTCGATATAAAAAAAATCATATCTTTCTTAATACTTATTGTGAAATGTTAAATGTTGTTTTATTGTTCGATTTTACATATGAAAAATATTAACTATCCTTTATTAATGCGATATTATAATCAGTCAAATGTTTTATCAAAATATGTTCTACTCATTAGTTGGAAAAAATTTCAACTTATAACTTAAGGAAATGTATGAATTAATTATTCATAATTTGAGTTGAATACTCATTAACATCTATTAATTTTGAATTTCCAATAGGTACTATGTTATATGTTTGATATTAATTTCATTAGTAAGAGAGATGCAAGATAATTCCTAAATTGTTTGACTAAAATCAAATTTAAAACAATTAAATTTAACCTAATGTTTATATCATTGCACATCTCTAAATAATTTTCTAAAATAAGAAAAAAAAATTGCACATAATCCAATACTTATCGCGTATGTATTTTGGAATGCGCGAGAATGAAATTGGAATTGGTTATTTTCCCATAATCTTGGTTTAAAATTCTGATCTTATATATTTATAAAAAAAGTTTGAATGTTAAATGCTATATTTAATACAAAAATGCGTTTGTGTTGTGTGCATGTAATGAAGTGTTGTGTTTGTGTTGCATGATTTGTGTACATATTAGCATTTTGTAAATAGGTACCTAGGTTTTTATTGATGATAGTTGTAGAATAAAACGTATAAATGTTAATACAACAAAGAAAGAGGTTTAGTAATGGCAAAGCAGTTTCATACAGATATTTATAAATAACTTATATTTATACATTTAGAGTCAATGAGGTAAGTATTTAAAGATATGTATGTTTTAATTACTGGCATAAATGATAATATTTCATGGGAATACTAGCTCAAATTGGTTGAGCATAATATACGCTAAAAATTGTTCACAACTAATACACGCTGAATAACCTTACTAATGCAAAATTACAAAAAATTTATGTCTTACACAAAATAAATGTATATTGAATTAACATTATGATACATTTGAATTTATAGAACCGTGATGAACGCCGTAGTGATTTCCATAGACATGACATATCAGGTGGATCAAGTTCAAGGACAAGTTCGGTTCTACCAGATCTACTTTCTCAGGTTTTATTGTTTGATAAATATAAAATCTGTATTATACATATTTTGAACATTGTTTTTTTATTTTATTTTCTAGGCTTCATCTAGTCCTGGTACTCCGAGTCAAAGACTTGACAAAAGCAATAGTGAAGAGGTAAATAATCAAATTAATAGACAACATGTCAATATAAATTTTCAATTTATTTTAAATATTGCCATTTAATTCTTTAACTGTGCAATTAGTGTTGTTTTAAAATAATATCTAATCGTATTTGATTTTGTTTTATGTCCATTAACATCATTAACTCAAACATCATGTCCACGTTTGTTAAAAGTAAGTGTAATTAATCTTAATGCTTTTATTATCAACAGTTATTAACATGTGTGTAAAATGTAAATATAATGCTTACAAATGTGGCTGTTGGTATTAGAAGACACTTAGTTTATTATTTGTTTTCTGTTGATCTAAATAAAATTGCTAAAAGTTTTTTGTTATTTGTTTCAGTACCAAAACGCAATATCTAAAACTTATTCCTTACTACAGAAACAACGTTCATTCCTGACATTTGGCTTTGGGGCTGGTGGTACTGGTACTAGTACAAGTTCACAAGGGCCTGGACGTCGTGAGTCACACGTTAACGTTAATGTTACACCAACTGTACATGATTTAGCATCTGAGACACCCGAGATACGTAAATACAAAAAACGTTTCAATTCTGAAATCCTCTGTGCCGCATTATGGGGTATGTAGATATATCTATGTATATTTAGGATATATTGTTTTGCAAATATTTAAAATAATTTTTGTTCTTAGGAGTTAACCTTGTTAATTGGTACAGAAACTGGACTAATGTTATTAGACAGAAGTGGTCAAGGTAAAGTGTACCAACTTATTTCTAGAAGACGATTCCAACAAATGGAAGTATTAGAGGGTCAAAATATTTTAGTAACTGTTTCTGGCAAGAAAAATCGTGTTAGAGTCTATTATTTATCTTGGCTGAAATCTAAAATTCTTAGAACAGATGGGGTGAGTTGAATGTGAATGTGTGCATATACATGATAATTATAGTAATTGTTATTATTTCTTCTATGTATATTTGTAATTTACACTATTTTTTTTCTTGTTATTTATGCAGCAAGTAGAGCGTAGGAATGGTTGGATAAATGTTGGGGATTTACAAGGTGCTGTACACTTCTGCATTGTAAAGTATGAACGTATTAAATTCTTAGTGATAGCACTCAAAGACAGCATCGAGATCTATGCATGGGCTCCTAAACCATATCATAAATTTATGGCTTTTAAGGTATAATATTATTGTTACTATGTGTATTCATTTTTTATTTTAATAATTCTGTAAAACTTTTCTTTAGTCCTTCGGAGACCTTGTTCATCGACCCCTACTAGTAGATTTGACAATTGAAGAAGGGGCACGACTTAAGGTGATCTATGGATCAGCTGATGGATTCCATGCAGTAGATCTTGACTCCGCATCTGTGTATGATGTATATTTACCTAAACATGTAAGTGATTTTTTGAATCTTATAAATCATTAGCCTTTATTAATATTTTTATTGTTACAATTACTAGACTCAAGGAGCTATTGCACCACATTGTATTGTTGTGTTACCAAACTCTAATGGGTTACAATTGCTGTTATGTTTTGACAACGAGGGTGTCTATGTAAATACTTATGGAAAGGTACTTATTTAATATTTATAATCTTTGTTTGTTTAAAGCTTTTTTTATTTTCTTAACCATGTACATTTATAGACGTCAAAGAATATATTATTACAATGGGGTGAGATGCCTACGTCGGTTGCATATATTGGCACTGGTCAAATAATGGGTTGGGGCAACAAAGCAATCGAAATACGAAGTGTAGAAACTGGTCATTTGGATGGTGTATTTATGCACAAAAAAGCACAGAGGTTGAAGTTTCTTTGTGAACGAAATGATAAGGTATGTTAATTTTGTTAGTTGTATAATAAATCTATTATTTATTTAATTCATAACTGTTTATTTTTGGTGTGTTGCATGTTATTAATTTATTAAATTTTAATATAAAATAACATTTCGCAATAGTCTTGAGATTGTAATATAAATCTTTTGGTTTGTAGTTTAATAGTTTTATAATATACTATTTAATTTTGAATAAACAAAATAAGTTAACATTTATGTGTACATTCTAATATTATCATAGCTTACTTAGAAATAATAATATCAATAAAATCCTCCGAGATCCCTTGATAATATTCTTACTTTTAAATTGTATTAGAGGTAATTTCACTCTAATTTTAGAAATGTCGAAGTAAAATGTGTTATTGTGAAGGCAAAATTTGCCATGGTTAATTAGTGTAAGACAGACAACAAATGCTCTTGTGGCGTTCTCTTAAGATGATTTTATAGTATTTAATTTTTTTTTTTTCAGGTATTCTTTTCGTCAGCTAAAGGTGGGTCATGTTGTCAGATATATTTCATGACACTCAACAAACCTGGCATGGCCAATTGGTAAATCAATTATATTCAGAGTAACGTAAATTTGTAATTAATGATAAAACATAATGATTAACATTAATGGCCGATAAGTATATTTAAACGGACCAAACTATCTGGATACCATCTATGATGTGACAGCTTACAATTAATTACCAAGTTATATTATGTATACAAATTTATATCTATATATATAATTTTATTATATTATATGTTTATACATATAATAATATTATTGCTTCAAAACAAAAAGACTTGATTACCAAGTGTGGTAAATATATAGAAAAATATTAATCCTCGACACTAATGTATTTTTAATAATTTTCATGTAGTTTTTTACCTTATATTAATGTGCTTGTGCACTATAAGATTTATTATTATTTTTTTTTTTTATCAAAACACTAGAGGCCATTTTACACATTTAATATTGTTTCCTATGATGCCCAGTGTTCCCAAACGGGTTTGAGCTGTGAAACAGAAATTTATGAACAAATCTATAATAATATATAATACAATTGTCACTTAGAAAACATTAATATGTATATTCTTTGTGTTTTGAAAGCTCACGTTTATTATTTTATGTTACTGATAAATTATTCAATATAAATATATAATTATTTTATACTTTAAATTATTTATTTTAATTTGTTATTAGTTTAAATTGCAAATAAACAATATTATTAGTCCATAATTTTTATATTTATAAAATCAATTACATTGTTCTTAAATCCAAATTATAGGACTATGAACAAAATTACTTGTACATTTATATGTTTAGTATTATTATTATTATTTTTTTTTACTGAAAAATAATATTAGTAATTTTTCTATGGATTGTTTTAGGATTTTAGTATTTTATATTTTGTTGTATGAAAACAAAACAATTGCTAATTAAACTAGACAAAATTGTGGTGCTTCAATCTGATTTGCAAAAAAAGCAAAACAAATCTTTTGTTGTACTATTATCATTTTTCTTCATCTACTTATGTGTCTACATTTTTGTATTGAATTATAATAAGTGTTTTAGATACATATTATTTATATATATTTTTTTTGCATAAAAAATAATAACCTTGTAATCCTATACAATAAAATACTCATTTATCCATGTTATTAATAAAAAACAGAACAAGAAATGTTATTAAATTATGACTTGCGAGTGGCTAAATTAAAGATCTGAAAGAAAAAAAATTAAGCAATAAATTGCAACCTTTTGTACAGATTCGTAAAGTTCACACTATATGAGTATTTGACATCACCACCCTTCGGTAGGTAGCTATAATAATTTAAATGTGTATACTACAATATGACATTGTGTAAAATGTATTTCAAAATGAGTATGGCTGATATAATAATTTGCAATAAACCGTACTGAGCAAAGTTAAATACATGCCGTCCATTATTCATGTCATGCATTGTCTGACACAGGGGGGGAGGCAATTGCTCCCTTAGTCCCCCCGTTATATCTGAATGGCTACATATTTGACCCATAAAATAGAAAAAAAGATTGAAAATCTGCATATAAATGGCTGCAATAGTGCAATTATATATGAAAATCGGGTGAAAAATTTAGAAAAACTTAATGTAAATAAAAAAAAAACAGGACAATTTTGGCTCCTCTATACAAAAAAGTATCCAAAAATTGTTTAATATTTTTTTTGAAATATTTTAAAGTTAATTTGGAAATAAAATCCAGTGTTTGCAGTTTTACAAAGTATGTTGTTGATGAGGGTGATAGTCGAGCGTTCATTAATTTTACGCGCCGTCACCGATTCCAGGTCAGTACTTTTAGATTGACATTGGCCATGGTGTGACGAGACGCATATGATAGTTAATACTAAATAGACGAACGTGGAAATCTGGAAGTTTCCAAAAACCCTGTCACCTAACCACCAATATCACGACTTAACTTGACGGTAACCTTCGATTGCGAGACTACTTTATCAAGGTTTTATTTTGATTTTACCAACCTATATAATAATAATACAATATACATTCTGGCCACTGTGTACTTACCTACATAATATTATCTAGGTATTGCTATTGCTATGGGAGGCGATTTGTTGACGCTGTGTTTGGGTTTAAAATTCTAGTGAAAAAAATTGCTACTGTCTAGATTTGGAACTTTGGAAGGCAATTTGTGTGCCCTCAAAATTAATCATAGCAATATTTTTAATCGGCACAACATTAATAACAATAAACAATATTAATAATAATAACATTTATGATAATTGATACCTAATTAAAAAAAAAAAAAAAATGCTTTTATATTCCCTTATTACGACATACAAGTTCGTCGTATTATAATTTAGTTCATTTAAAGTTCAAACAAAAATTACATTATATATTTTTATCCTAAAAGTTCAATTTCTTTTATTGATGACAGTGCATTTTTGGCCCACTCGTATTTTACATTTTTGAGTATCTTCGCGTTTCATATAGATTCCGAAAATGAGTTTGCCTTCCCACTTGTGTTGGCCCAATATTTTCATTGGCTTATAAATGCTCTCCGATGTATCCTGATCGATATTCACCATTTTGCACCTTTCGCAACCTGAAACGAACTGTGGAAAAATGTGACATTTATGATAATTGATAACACACTGCGAGTAAAAAGAAATATAATACAGATGAATTGTCTGTCGTACTTGAAATTTGACACCTCCAATGTCCAATTTGTCCCAATACATTTCACCAAAGGGTGGTAGACTGTTGCCAGAAATCAAGAAGTTACCTCGGAATCGGAATAACAAACTATCTTCATCCTAATGATTCGATACATTATGGTTGTGAATAATATTACTAGGTAACATTATAATAACATCTAATTAATAAAACTAATTTTACTATTTCCGCTATGTTGTCTTCCATTTCTTGCTGTAACCACTTGAGCGTCGATTGTGTGGACAATAGGTACTGGCATTGATTGTTACCAAATACCAATGGATCTATCTTTTCTAAAGTCCATACAATTAAAATTAAATAGTTGGTACGTAGTAATCAGTAATAATACTTATTATCATTATTATTATTCATATACGATTGTTTATAATGTTTCATTAAATGATTTATAATACCTATTTTGATATCCAGTCAATTATAGGTACCTACGTGTAGATTGCTACTACAGGATAATACCTACCTACATAAGGCAAACCAGTATCGGAAACGTTCAAAAACGAAAAAGTTAGTTTTACAATTAAATGAGATTGTCAATAAATAATATTGTTATATTATTTATTTGGTAAATAGGTACTAAATTATGAAATCGTGATGGCTTTTTTGAGATAACTTATTTTAATTTTATATTGTCTGTATGATATAATAATTAGGTTATAGGCGTAGGTTTGTCGGTTTGTGTATTTAGCATACAGGGCGATTCACCAAGCATGTTCACCCCTTTCAATTTTTTAATTTAATTATGGATTTCTTCAAATTCCAATTTTTGAAATATTTAAATAATATACTCAAAACATTATTTTAAAATTCTTGAATTTTTTTTTTACTTTTCTATTAGTATCCTTCTGTGATACAAACTTTTGTTTTTCAATGGAGTTGAGAGTGCTTATACAGTGAACCACTCTTTACAATATAACTAAAATTTAATAAAATTTAACGAGCAGATTTTCGTGTCATGATTAAATCAATTGTCAATGCTTTTAGACAACATTATAATTTATAATATTTTGTGGCCACTGAGTGAAGGAATTAGTTTACCATATCCGTTGACTGCTGAAGTGCGGCTGGTGATTCTAACGAGTCTTAACCCAGGCCGATCAAGATTCCAACTGAGCCATTCGGACACTTCGTCGCCACAGTCGATTCCTTCCAAATGTCCACCCCAACATATTTTTCCCATTCTCTTGGTATCACTGTGTTTCGTGTCAAGTGGAACTACCATCGGAACTTCATCTTCGTTTTCTGGAATAGAAGTAGAAATATTTTTTTATTTGTTTTTAAGGAAAATAGGTACCTAGAGATAGTCAATAATGTTATGTTTTGATACTAATGGTTAAATTTTTTCATCAATAAATAACATAATGCCATAACGATTGGGGTTTCTTAGAAATGCTGGTATCGAATATCGATCAAGGCCATAAATGAAAAAAATTTCGGGGGTCAAACATTCTTTCATATGGATACTCATACTGGACACTACTGGATAGTGGATACTGGGTCATTTTTTACGTTCAAAATATAAAAACTTTTGTTCTACTTTTCAAAATTACAGGGTGGGGGGTCTGGACTACTGGTCTCCTCCCATTACCAGTTACGGTCTTGGTATCGGTTGTGGATGCGTAGATACCTATAGCTATTGCACGTGTTACGAATAACAATATTTTGAATTGCAATGTCATACATGAAAATATATGGGTTAAGTTAGGTGTATACCTATAGGTATTTTAAGGCCACATTCTATTATATACATCGCCGTGTTCCGTCTAGACCGTGCAGTTATTTTAACTGTTGTCCGCGTCAAAATAACTGCACGTCCGCTGTTATAATAGTTGCGAGGAGAATTAGTGGTTAAATATTTTCAACTGTTTGGCATACTACTGTGGTAACGTGTTAACCACGCCATTAGATACATGGGATCCCAAAATGCCGCATTTACACTTTTACTATAATACCTATCATAATATAAATGTATAATAAGAACATAGCTATATATTACTATATTATCATTCGTTAAAAAAAACAGCAAAATATAAATAACAACTACGTCGTTTGTGTCAAAGTCTGTTAGATTTATCGGCGTATTACGTTTACTATAATACCTATCACAATATAAAAGTGTAATAATAAGTAATAATATATAATATGTCAGGTATATTACTATATTATCAAGGTGCGCAGTGCCAGATATTGTTTTATTCCTAAAAAAAACCTCAAAATACAAATAACTACTATGTATGTGTCAAAATCTGTTAGATTTACCGGCGTATACGAGGGTCATGGTTCCTTTTTGCAAATCTATATAAGGCCGGACCAGACACAATTTCGGATCTTCCATTTGCG